AGATATTATGGTAAAATTAGAAACACATGTATGGTTATACATCATTTTTTAACGTTTACAAAATCGTGGAAAAATTACATAACCTCTTAAGAAATTGAAGAATCATGAAATCTGGAGTACCATAACTTCACATGTTGACTACATTATGTGAACTTTGTATTAGGATTGTGGACAATTTCGGACCTCCCCCGCAAATTTTTGTGTTGAAAATGCTTAATTAAAGTGCCCTTTTGCCATTTTTATTAATTTCATAATCGTGGTTGGGGGGCTTAATAATGTCAAGCATTCAGATTTGTTCGATATTTGACTTCACAATAAACTTTGTAATGTAATTTGGGACTTTTCTGAATATCCGAATTTTTATCAGAATTATAATCCTAATTTTTTAAAATTTTGGGTTTTTTTCGACTTTTTCAAATTTTTCAAAATTTCATTGATTGTGAATATTCAGTAAATTAAATATGAATAGATGAATGACACCTTAAACTTAACTTTTCACACACGCTATACAGAAACAAGAAATATCTCAATAATCTGATACCCAATATCCAAAATGAAAGAAAATATTCAAATATGTATTAGGCATGCCAAAATAAATCATTTGAATACTATCCGTGGACAAAAATAACAATAAACTTTTGCTCTGGAAAATACAGAGGCATATTAATGACAATAAAAGAATTGTTTATGTGTAAGAACTAGAAGCTTGTTAGTGATGAAGTTGGGTATGTAGTTTCCAATAAAAAAAAAGCGAGAGCTTTTAATATTTAACTTTTAGTCTTTGTCTAAACCAAGACCAAGACATCCTTGACTTCTGTTTCCACGATAAAAATACTGAATGAAAAGCTGTCTTTCGATGTAAAACCACTCAGTTTTAATCGGTAGTTTTTCTTTGGGAAACACATTTACATTCATTTGATAGCACATTTTTAATGTAATTTGGAAGTTCAAAATAGGTGTTTGCTAGACATAATTTGAAGGTCCATCCATGAAGAATTCTGTTTATTTTGTAGGGAAGTGGCACGTTTTATTTTCGGCATTAATTTTGTTTCTACGGTAGAGGCTTAGTAATGAATCTTACTTAGATGGTAGTCTTCCCTCACCTTACCTTCAATTATTTTACAACATAGGAATAAACGCCATCTGTTACCTCAATTTGTCATGCATAATTCCAGGAAATTTGTCTCATAGGTCACATGATTAGGGCGTTGTGCGCTGGTGCACCATCCTGTTGAAACCCACAGTTTCCAACTTTGGTTTTTCGGAAGTACTTGGAATTTTCTTGTTTTCTTTACAGCACGATAATAACTCTCTTTACTCGTCGTATCTTCTATGGTTTCCGAGATCCCCAAGATAGACATTCTTATCTAGGACAGAGTATGTATCATAAAAAGAATGAACTGGTCAGTTTGTTGAGCTATTACCAGGCCCGTGCTGGCCCTGGGGGATAGGGGGACATATCCCCCTGCGCCCTTGTAAGTAGCGCCCTAAGACTGAGCAAAACATTAAACAATTTATTACTAATCGTGTGTTACTAAATTAAACAAAAGTAAATAAGAATACAAAGAGCACTTCATAAAAGTCTGCTTCGCTTCGGCAGAAATCATTAAGAGATTACTATTAGATTACTCTTTTACAACGCTTGCATTGTCTACCTACTTTTTGACACAAAGTATGCAGTGTTTGTTTGTTTTACTACCCATAAAAATAAAAAATACCACTTTCAATTTGAATTACACCGGAAATTATTTAACCTGTGATAAGATAAACCGTTTTGCTTTACATCATTTTGTAGTAGTGTACATAAATGATTATGACACCAGACAAGACAAAGTAAGAATTGTTTTTTATAGTACCTACTCGTATTCGCACATGATTAGTAGTGAAATATAATCTAAGGACTCCCTATTCATATCCATTTATAAAATCTGATATAAGATCATGCCATTGCCTTGCCCCATTTACTTCTGCAGTAGGATTATTTTATATTTAATTGATAATTCTTTCAGTTCAAGTTCAAGTTTAAAGTGCACGCGTGTATGTTAGCTTTGTTTAGTTTGTTATTGTTTTGCTATTGCAACTGCATGTGCGTCAAGGCCAAGGTAAGTTTAATTAATGCATTTTTAATTAACACCTTAAATGCATGTAACATTATTAGACGAATAATGACACTATTTCGTCATTGAAATTGGATTTGGATGGTGTCATTGTGTTTGATTTCTATTTAACAAAACGACAACTGCAGATGCAGTACTTTTCACTTATGGTTCATAATCAATAAACTTTGTGCATCAAGTACAGAAATGACGCGACTTTTAACAGTGTGACTGCACTAGTTTTAGTTTCTCTTACATATGATTTGATGATTTTTTTGTAGTTTCTCTGAAGTGTTGTTATGTTGCGTTATAGCTGTGATGGGGGTGAATGCGCTTAAAATTAAACACAAAAAGAACGTGTAATTTTTTAATTTAATTGAATGGAAGTAGTAATTTTCCAAAAGTTTGTTGGTCGTTCCCATTGTGCTGGAGCCCCCCCCCCCACCACGTAATTTTACAGGCCTTGCGCCCTCGGCATACCTGGCCTCCGCCCCCTTATGGCCCCCGGCACGGGCCTGGCTATTACCCAATTTTGTGAATTAAATCTACAAAAATAATCATTTTCTGCAATTGGACCATAATATCAGTTTACATTGTGTGAAAATAATGATTATAAAGTTTAAACAATTTCGAAACACTGAAAATATTTTCCACAATTAAAATTTGATTAGGTTTTTATGCATATGCGCTATATCATATGTTTTGCGAATTATCCTTGTCCATTACACTTCATGACACTGCTACAGTAATAAGTAATTAGCATAAAGGTACTCCCACCTCACAATCCGTTAAGTGATGAGACCTATTTGGAAATTCCTAAAAAGAGATTTTGTCTGTAAGTCAAGGTTCAGTGTGAGATCATTCTAAAAGATGAATGTACAGTAAATAAAGTTTTTGTTTACACCTTGGTACAATCTTAGCAAATACTTAGATTTGCACACATAATTAGCTTTGTTATAATTTAAAACGAAGATAGTTTGCCTTACGTGTACGACCTTTCACGGATGTTAACGCCAAAGTTATAAACCAAAGCGCTTTAAATTATGCATTTTATAGGAAGCGTAAAAAATTCAAAATAAGTAATTTTAATTAAATTCCTTTTGTTTGCGTAAACAATTCTTCACAATACAATTGGTAACAAATGCATGAAGCATGCAGCTAGCATTCAGCAGCATGCAGGGTGTTATGATTCGCCCTAAACCACCTTAATAAAAGAATAATAATAAGGGAGCTTTCATTTTTTTTCAATAATTGTTCAAACGCGAAATTTGTTGCAGATTTTTGCTACAACAGATAACATCAAATAATATAGATACTATGATCTACTGTGGCACAACAGATAATTAACAAACAACATAATTGTACTGCAGTTGATCGAAGTTATTACCTAACCTAACAATGTCTTGGGTGCCCAGGTGTATTGCTATCAAGGTAATTTAGAAACGGTTGTATTGTCTATCAAGCTGGTTTTATTCTTATATGCGTGTACGTGGTGTATCGCTTATGCTTTGATTGCGGCATGAAGGGCAGTTCGTAACAATGCCAGCGATTCGATGAGCATTTATTTAGGAACACCTGAGCGTCGATTCTGTGGCAGAAATCAATAATTTTAGAAGAGCACAGGTCTATCTTTCAATTCCCGAATCCCTCCAATCCCTTATCGAGTTTAGGAGCAATTTGACCACAGTTTGTTAAGAGTATTTTTGTTCAAATCAGTTAAAATCGCACAAGATAGCTGTTTCAAAAAATAACACAAGTACACTGTAATATTATTATCATAATCAACAATTACGTAGTTAGCTCTTCGTCCCATACGCTGGAACAACCTATATTTTAGGACTAATGTGAACTCTTTCTCAAAGAGGATTGCACCGATCCCCACGAGAAACGCACCTACTAACAAATCATCGATAAACCACTATTCGTGCGGTTCAATATCTAAGAAAGAAGCAAGTTTAGGTAAAAATTAAGGGAAATGTATTGCACAATATGTGCTCGGAATGATGGAAACGGTAAATATGGTCAATCAACATATTCAAGTTGATCAACAACGGAACTGGAACCACTACTTATATCTATTCCTGATATGCCAAACAGACAATCCTGCAGAAAAACCTAGGAATCCGAGTAAGTTCTCCTCGTGCGGACCGCAGCTCTTGTGTCTTAGCAATACGAGAAGGGGTTCTTCTACCACTTATTATGGTTTTGCTTATGCAATAATAGACTTTAATGGCCGTTTGCACAGAAAAATTTAATCAGAACTTAGCTCGGGCTATTATCTACTACTGGCATTCTCACATTACTTTCGTGTTAAATTATGGTATCCAAGGCTGAAGTAGAGCTACCCCATTTTGATGTGTATTAGGTATGTACATGCAATTTACCATTTTACGAGTTTTACGTGGATGTGTGTTTTATTTAATTTGATTAATCATGTTTTGCACTAAACTTGTATTTATAATGTCTCTGGTATTTCGTTCTTGTTCATTTACTGCATTTGACTCAATACCTGATTTTTATTTTACGATTTGAGATGTTTACTTTTTGCTATTGCACGTCGTAGTTGATTTATTTTGTATGAGAGTACAAAATTTGTCACCTTCCGCAATAAGTAGCAGAAAATTATGCGGTATCAACAAAGTGGAACGTGTCGATAGAGTGAACTTGGCGATTACCCCTTGCTTTTAGCAGTTTTAGTAACCGTAACGGACTTTAGTATTCTAATTTCAGTTTGGGATTTTTGTTTTAAATGAACCAATACAGTGAGACGTACAATACCAGCCACAGGAACTAACTTATAGGTGTTAATATTTTTATGAATGGATGCTACCACTTTTTTATGTAATTATACCTATTAAACTAATGGGTTAATTAAATAATAGAAAGAGGAATAAAAATGTTCTCGACCATAATAAAATCATGGCGTCCTTGCTATAATATTTGCATACCGATCTTACGATGTGTGTTTATACATAAGTACGTAAGTACTATATTATAAAAAATGGCTAAATCGCAGAATCTTCGCAAGTAAGTAATTACTTTAAGGTAAAGTCCGATATATCTACTGTGAAGAAAAAAAAAGGTTTACCCACATTAAAATACAATTCAGCATTAAATCCTTCCCAAACTGATTTTTTACATTTTGCTTATGGTACCGAATAAGAAGGAAAACATTTGTGGAACCAACGTGTAAACATTTAAATTAGCTAATAAATTAGCAAATTGCGATGACCCTCTATTCCGTTGCTGATATATAAATCTGCGATTGTTCAAAAATTCCAGTACTTTGCCAATTTTTATACAAACCGGAACCAGTCAACGTGATGTTGAGCAAGGTAAACAATTTTTTTAAAACTTCACTTATTACAACCTAACAAAAACCCTTATCTCAATTAATCGTTTCAGATTTTGATTTTACTTGCCGCCTTGGCATTAACTTTCGCTTTTCCACATCCGAAACCGATTGAAGTCGAAGTTTTAGAAGCTGCGGAATCTGCAAGTCCTCATCACCATCACCACGGATGGGGCGGCGGCTGGGGAGGTGATTATGGAGGTTGGGGCGGAGGATGGGGTGGCGGATATGATGGAGGATGGGGTGGTGGCTGGGGTGGAGGATGGGGAGGTGATTGGTAGTAAAATATATTAGGATTATATGTTGTAATTAAAAGCGTATATAAATGAAATTTTGTTGGTACAGTCAATTAGTGACATTTTCACAATAAAATCGTTTTTTCTTTGTGATAAATTAACGCGTTTTGTCATTGATTTGAGAGACTAAAGTGTCAATTCCTCTTGGAGGGATTTACAAAATTCAATTCTGCGTACATCGGAATATTTATCACTATAACAAATCTACAACCAAAATCAAGTAACTTCTCTCTATGTTTGCATTAACATGATGATTGGTCATACTGTCTGTTGTCATTTACTTTTTTCCGCTGTAACGCTCCAATTTTGTTTTTTTCAGATCGCAAGTGGCGACAAAGTACGCATTTTGATTTCTGCACCATATTTTATAGTATTATTCTAAAGTTCACAGATGTGGTCATTCGAAAGACGTATTTCTAAAAACATCCTTTGAACGTTCCCTGGATAATTACTATACCTTAAGGGGCTTTCACAGTGTAATGCTAGGACTTGCGTGGAACGTACCTATAATGTTTCAGTATAATACCTACATAGGCATGAAGGGAAAAGGGGGATGGGGGTGGGGGGAGTAAATGCAAAACTTTTATTTTAACTTATTTAATGAAGGATTACACTCCAGAAAATCATTCAAACACTTTTTCTTGATCGTTTGGACACTTGCGAAGCCATTTAGCCATCGAATTTTCTATCTCTGTTTCCGTATTTTTAAATAATGAAACTGCAGCCGCTGGAAACAAAATAGCTAACTGAGGACACATTACACACCTGGTTCAAAAATAACTGTTTCTATTTATTCTTATCAAAATTGTACAAATAAAAATGTCTAGGTATAAAAAACTGTAGAAGTGAGACAGAGCTTATGAGAAAAGGGACTTACTTTTGAGTAGTGTTGCCAATTTTAAATCAAGAAATTTCCGTTTTTTCTTGCGTCCAAGGAAACTGAATTCGGTACCAACAAATTTATCTGTACTTAATTTTTTGCTGGCGCGAAATATAAATTCATATGGAGCATTTCCTCCTAATTGCGCAATTTTACCTACAAAAAACAAATAACAAAAAAAAATAATATAACGCTAATATGGTATAATTACTGCTGCAGTAAATTGATTCTTCTCCGATAAGTACTCTTTTAATCCTTGTAACTCCTAGATTTGAGTCCACTGCCAAGTTTTCCAACTGTATATAAATTAAAGAATCCTGGTTGATATCATTTTTGTCTTCACGTTGATTATTGCGAAGATAATGATCAATATCAACTAATTTTGTATTAATATTGGTGATCATATATTGTAAAATATTACCCAAAACCGTCCTGAAACCTTTATTTTTGTGTCTCCCTGCTTCAAAGCTTTGTTTTCTGTAGCCAAATTAGTCCAGAAAGTTATGATTTGCTGGCCTAGGCCGGCAAAAATATCACTAAAAATTGGTTGGTGGAACTGATTTAATTTGCAATGACAGTTCTAAATTTAAATTAAATTGTTAGAATGATAGGCATATTTTTTGTGCAAATTCCATTTTAAGCACTTTATGGCTTGGTAGGTAACATAGTAATACGTATATGTAAATGCGGTAGGTAAGTACCCTAATCAAGAATTGTAAGTTTCACTTACAAGTTTTCGTTTAGTGCGGTTATGACACTTGTACATGTTTACCGATGGTAAACTTACGGTTTATGGCAAAAAACAGAGAGCTAATTGAAAGTATAGGAAATTGAAGTTTATCTACTTCCACACTCGATGCCAGGAATGCCAACAAATGGTTACGCATGTAAATTAACGCAGTCAAAAAACACAACACTAAACGGATGAAGAGTAACGACACTATATGTTTTGTAATTATTATTATTTCTGCCATTGTTAACATTAAACTGTATACATTATTCCATAAATTATATATCTACAAGCAAGTATATTTCTCTGAAGATGACAGTTTCCGAAAAGGAGGTGTACGCATATGAAAACGGTCTTCTTGTCGATATCTATGCTCATATCTATGATGAAAATTTCCGACATCAGTTACTTCCGTGTAGTAAGACCATAATAATCAAACGACACTGCATACACCAAATTGTAGATTTGCACGGAGCAATCATCGGCCCTCTTGCTGCTCTCCTCGTAATCGACAGCCAACGAGAAGTAGATATCCAAACAAACTTGTTATCATTCTTATATGTAATGGAATTAATATGATAAATCAATTTGCAAATGAAAACATTGCAACCCAATTCTCAAAATAGGTGTAAGCCGTAAGCACTAGCTGAAATTGAAATAAATTTCAAGGTTATGTTTCCCATTGAAATCAACTTACTACTTATTAGTTTTAGCGCAGCTTCTTTTAAATGTTATGAACTTCTTAAGACTGGGCTAAGCGTTTTAGAAATTTGTAAAAATAATTAAATTAACGTAAATGCGTTGTTTATTCATTTAATCACAATTAATGTGGAATAAACACTGGTAAATATCGGTTGTGAATTGACATGCTTGTGCTACCAACCGCCAACTGTCTGTGCTACCAACATAACATCGAAATATTGGAAATTTGAATGCAAGTATGACGGCTTAGGAGGTAGAAATATAAATTTTAAAATGAACGTTGTTCCCTCAAATTTTTTACTTCGACACAAAAAATCTTGTGTATTACACGTCCATAAAAATGTTTTGCGAGTATTCGTATTGCAGGCCTCAGCTCCGCTTCGGCCTGCAACCTTACTCACACTCGCAAACATCCATTTTCTGGACTTGTGATACAAATAACTATTTCATGTCTACTTTCTGTCAGGAAATTTTAGTTTCCATGACAGAGGCAGAGCAGACTACGTTTCCTGCCGTACCTGTCACTTTACCGGCCGCATTTGTGACATTACTAAATGTCTATAATGACTCCTGTCATCACTGATAAATTGACATTAATCAAAAGTTCTATATAAAAATTGAAATTTTATATTAAAATACGATTTCGGGTAAAATTTAATACAAAACTCGTCAGTAAAATGTCATTACCTGACTTTCTCCCCTTTCAATGGCTTCTTGTACTAATTTCCTACTGTATGCAAGCCAAAAACCGACCTTCTCATCTAGCCAAGAAGTGGCTACTGCTGAAACTGAATTCTCCTCGGGAAATTTTATAATAGACCATGTGAGGTTCTCAAGATTTTGTGACATTATGGCGTAACATTACATTAGTTTCGTTTATATGAACAAAATGGCTAGTTTTATATACAGGGTGGTGCACGGTAAGTAGGAACATAGGGATTTAACATGGGAAATTAGTTTTATGCAAAATCCTGCCCTCCTGTACATTTTACAGAAAAAAACTGTAGAGTTTAAAGTTGTTCAGAATTAAAAGATGCATACAACACTGTTTGTACATGTTTTATTACGCTTTTCGTAAACTCGCAAATTTAAACATAAATTTCAACATTTCTGTTATTAATGGCAATTGACAATTCATAAAACAACAAAAGTCATGGCTATTGCTACGAATAACAGAAATGTTGAAACTTATTGTTAAATTTGCGGGTATACGAAAAGCTTAATAAAACATGTAAAAACAGTTTTATATGCATCTTTTAATTCTGAACAACTTTAAACTCTACAGTTTTTTCTGTAAAATGTACAGGGGAGCAGGATTTTGCATAAAACTAATTTCCCATGTTAAATCCCTATGTTCCTACTTACCGTGCACCACCCTGTATATTTCAGGCGTGAACTTAGCTTTACACCATAAGTTCAAATATTTTTTTACAAATGTTGCAAAGCTAGTTTCCATCTATGACATACAAACAATTTTTTGAACGGTCAAATGAAGAAAATATGTAATAAAATTTGTATTTGTGACAAAATGTAGACGAATAACAAGACGAAAAGGTGTGCAAAAAACTATTTACTTAGCAATAGTATGTTATGTAATAATGGAAATACTACAGATTTATTATGAAATGGAAGTTTTACGAATTTCCACAATCCACAAATGTAAAGGTCCTAACTGACTTACAAGAAATATATTTAACATTGACGATTTGCCAGGTTCAGTATAAAAATTTTCGAGTAATTCAAACTTTTGTCCAATAATACCTAAGTTTTTAGCAGTTTTAACATTTTTGATCACTACAATGCTTTTATCACGTAAACAGCAGCTGCTTCTGAACTCTTTAAAATAAAATTATTACAATCAAGTTGCCTATATTGCTCCAAACAGTCAATATCTAATAATGGCCCATCGAAATGTGGATTTTGGGAATTAAAAAATTCCCAAGAAAGTTCATAGAAGTTTTTTAGAGTATGGTGCTGCTCTATTATTCTTTTAATAATTTGTGGCAAACACTTGTCACCTTTTCGGAGCAATTTCCTCAATGTCTGCAAGTGGTTTTCAAATGGATATGCAAAAAACCTTTCTCAAGTACCAAATATACAAAAACCTTGGCAAAAAACTATTTATTAAAGCAAACGGGGATAAACCTATTAATTTAAAAATTAGTTCACTCACATTAAAATACAATTCAGCATTAAACCATTCTCATAACGTCAAACAAAAAAAACATCCTTAATTTGCGGTACCTACGTGTAAGAATGTGTGTAAAATAATCACGGTAAATCCGGTTATAAATTAGCAAGTTATATTGAACCTCGAATCGCAGGTATATATAAAACAAGTAGGTATTATTCACAAAAATTCAGTAGGCACTCGACCAATTTTAAAACAGACTTACTTGAGCAAGGGGAGTAATTCTTAATATTTGGAAAAGTCTCCATCAACGTTTACTTTAATAATTTTAGATATTTATTTTATTTACCATACTTGCGTTAACGTTGGCTATACCTTATCCTCACCATCACCACCATGGCCATCACCATCACCACGGATGGGGCGGCGGTTGGGGTGGTCACCATGGAGGTTGGGGAGGCCCCCACCATGGAGGATGGGGCCATTGGTAGTAAAATGCGTTAAAATGAAGTTATGTGATGTAGGTAATTAACTTTCGTACAAATGTCTGCTAGCTTAGCGTCTACGTGTAGTGTTCGCGTCTTACTTCATAGATGTGTTTAAGTTATTTTGATTTAATAATGCCTGCATGATGCGACATGATAATAAGTTAACAATAATAAATTCCACAAAACCCAAAGTAGTAGTTTAAGTAAACATTCCTTTGATGGAGGTTTTGGCCACGAAGTAAATAGTTGTAAAGTATAAAGTTGATCAATCATACTTGCAAATCAAATTAACTGCTGAATAGCGCGTCATCATAACGAAAACACAATAACCATAAAGTTTCAACTATACACACCTGGCAATTAAAACTTAATTACCCATATTTTGTACCCGTTTTTGAAGAGTTACATCCACAAAAAATTCTTTTGGAGAGGCAAGGGGCAAACCACTGTGGAACCTCTTGGAATTCATGGAATTCTTTTGGAATTCATGGAATTCTTATGGAATGCATGGAATTATTAAAAGCAACTTTTCTCCTCGCTTTCCTTCGACGTTTCCATAAATGTTGTAAAAAAATAAATCGTTATATATAAAGTGCCCTATATTAACAATGTTAGTATCAACGTAACATTTCTTTTAGAATAAAACAAATACAATAAACCGTTAATTCCTTTTTCATTTTCAACGGAATGTCGTCTAATAATTTTAGTGGTCCATAAAATAACCTTTTTTCTTCTACAATATCAAAATCTTCTTTTTTTGGGCCAGTTGAAAGCTCCACTGGTTTCTTTCAGGAATTTTACTTTAACAATCACATCGTCATGCTTTTCCATTATTTATTTTATTTATTTATTGTTCCTTTTGTTCTAGGCCCTCAACAGGCTTACGCCCAATTACAAAGTGACCCGCATAACGCTTTTTAGAGGTGCCCCTGCTGAAGGTCTTAAGTTGTTCTATACTACTCCGGTATTTACCTTACGAATTAGGAAAACTGCAGGAATACCTAATTCGGAGTAGCCGGCAGAATGCTACAAACTGATGTAAAGAAATTCCCATTATGTCCACATACAACTTTGGGGTATAGTATACGACATAAAACTCATTATTTCTGATTTCCAAGCTATAATTTCCTATTTTAAGGTTACCTATTTTTGGGTTTTGTTGTCTTGTTGTCTTTGATTTTTCTAGGATTATATTCGCTTGCCTCGTCAGAGGCCTCACCTCCTTCCGATACATCATCAGTGTCACAAAAGGGTATTGAGGGACGTATCAGATGTACATACTGTATTCGAGAGTATCTCCCGAAACTTGAGAACTTGTCGCCTGGTTTGTTTTCAACCGCGCTCTGCTCTCAGATTCCTCAACTTCAACATTAGGCTTGTTCCTTTTCCCTTTGACGATGTAATGATGCGGCGTAGGCGATCAGTACTTATTCTACCATTGTTGCTGTCCAGTATCCAAAAAGATGATATTCGTATAACCATTCGCTTATTATTTACATTTATATTTACAAATATAGAAACATCTTTTACTGCACTTGAGTAAGCTCGTAAGTCTAATTCATTCCTCGATTCATCCTCGAATTCATCAGAATAATTGCTGTCAACAAGTTCATTTATATCTGCTACATCTGCGGGCATCCTGACATTATTGTTGTAAATCTGTATTACGTACAATTTTTCAAAACGATCCATTAAGATCAATATATCCTCATCGTCAATCCGGGCGCCGGCGATAAGCTCCTCGGTTACCAGAAGATGTCCGCCAGGCAAGGTGAAGTATTGTCTCCACTGCTGTGATGCCTGGTGTTTGACGGGCTCTTCCGCACTTTGCGCAAGGACAGAGCGTATACACGAAAGATCTCACGATCGTCATAACATGGCATGGGCAATTGAGCATATATGGTGATCGTCCAAAAACTGATATCACCTTCTCCCTTGGTCAGCATGGCATCGTGTTTCAGGTTAGCCATCGTGACCTCTGCACAGGAAAATTTGCGTAGACGTTACCGTAATGAGCATATAAACTGTGTCCAAGATAAGGATGCCTATCATAGAGATTTCCGAAACCATAGAAGATACGAAGATGGTCAAATTAGAGAAAAGATGCGCAATTAAAGACTCATTATCTTCTTTAAAAAAAACAGAAAATTCAGATTACATCCGAACATATGCCAGAAAAATCAAAATTTGCCGACTTTGTTTTTATTTTTTTCTGATGTTATTTGAACAAATACAAAACAAATTTTAAAAACACTTTCTTACGTTGAGAGGTTTTTAATACAACGTTTCGTTTCGGAGATATCATCATCAACTTACATACTGTAATGAGTATCATTTTTATTACGAATACAACGATGGTCGAGACTAAAAAAAACCAAAGTTAGCAACTCTGTTGGTTTCAAGAGGATGGTGCACCCGTGCACAACATCGTAATCCTGCGAGGATACTTATCGGTCAAATTTCCTGGAAAATGGAAAATTTATCGTACCCCTTATCTAATGTCCCTATCCTCCGATCGATCAATTTCAAAATCACCTGCAAGTGCCTTATCCCCTAATGCATTAGTCGACAAATCTCTGCCAAAAGCTATAAAATGAGAAGTATGCCCAGTCACATCGTGGACTTGTGTTCTAATAGCACACGTTAACTTTGACATATGTTTATCCCAATCCTGCTTCTCCTTCTCCTTGTCCTTAATATAACACCTAAGCATAGTTTGAAGGGTTTTATTCACGCGCTCGGTCGGATTCGCTTGAGTATGGTCATTCGCTGTTAAGATCTGTTTAACCCCATACGCTCCTAGTAATTTCCGGAACTCAGCACTACGGAACTGCACACCATTATCTGAAATAAGAATCTCACATTGACCAAACATCAGAAACCACTGGTCCTCCACAGCAGCGCAGATAAGTTTCGCAGTAGCGTTTCTCAGCGGGGCAGTTACAATTTACTGAACAGATCAACCATCACCCTTGGCTTCAATCTAACCAACAGGCGAATAAGGGGAGATTACTTGGAACGGCTTTTTAACCACCCTTCCTAATAGCCATTTGACCTGCAGGATTCTACCGCTCGGGTTTATTAGTGAGACACACAGGACACCTACATTTTTGGAGATGTCGGCCTTCATCCTTGGCCAACAATAGAGTTGGTAGAATGTCCAACCGTTACTACCCTCAATATAGGGTCATAATTTCTCAATTCTCCAAAGGACTACCAGGCACTCACGTTCCGTCGTAGAATATTTACGCGAGACCGTTTTCCCTTCTCCTGGTTTAGCACTGCCCCTATACCAACCGCAATAGCAATCAGTATTCTGGGCATGAAAAAATCGGAGCTGACACTAAACAACTCTTAAGTTGGTTAACCGCCTCATCTTGCGTCTTAGTCTATTAAAATTTTGAAGATTTTTTTAAAAAATCCGTAAGTGGTTAAAGTCGAAAAGTTCGGAATAAACTGATGATACCACGCTGCAGTTCCTATTAAAGTTCGAAGCTCAGAAACCATAGTTGGTATAGGGATATTAAGAGTAGCGGATCTCCGGATCGATATATTCATTGACGACATACCCTAAGTATTTTAGCTCACTCCGACAAAATTGATACTTTTCCCTATTCAGGATTAGTTCGGAGCTTTTAAGCGCCCTAACACTTTGCCAAAACCGCAATACGTAGGTAGAAGGTAGGAGTAACGATTATTTTATGATCAAGATATTTAAAACAGAAAGGCTCCAAATCTACCCCCATCACTCGGTCTATTAGTTGTTGCCAAGTAGCTGCTGTTGTGTACAACCCAAAAGGAAGTCGCTTAAATTGACCCACACAACACAGCTCTTCCAATGGACGTCCATATTTGATCCAGTTTAGGTTACGACGTCCATGTAACAAAAGTGTACGTACATTGGACGTCCAACTATTCCCTTTTATGGAATTATTAACAAGTTGTCCATAAGGTACTCACAAATGACGTCCAATGGACGTATGTTCAAATTCCGGAATAAATTTACACGCGGCTGCGCAGTGCAACGACATTTTCTTCAATGTGGCTAACTTTAACTTATGCAGTTAACATTCATTTGATGTGGGATTACGTTTCCTTTTCTTTTTAAAATTGCGTTACAGCGTATATATAGATATATACATGAAATAGAATTCTAATAGTTATATAATAGGTTTTTATTATTTATCACGGTAAGTTTCTAAATGTAGGATTTATCTACCATATAGCACACTTTGTCCATCGGACGTACATTTTAAGTACATTATACGTACATACATCTATGGACGAATGATGTACATCCTATGTTCGTACAAAAATGGACGTACTTTTTGTAATGTACATTGTACGTACATTGTAGGATGGGATCAGTACGTATCGATAATTATTTTATAATTAATGTATTTTAAGCATCTGATGATTGTCTGCAGTTTGCGCCGCTAACTGTTTATCTTTTTTATTAACATATTTTTTTCCGCCAAATATTTGTAACGTTTTTCCCGGTCAACGAAGAAATACGACAAAACGCGATTACTGATTCATGCGGTCGCCGCTCGCGGCTCGTTTGTGATTCTTCGCGCAAACTACTAAGTGTTCTGTCACTAAATCGCGTTGTCTGCTGCCGATACGAGTCTTTTTTTGTGTGACGGCTGCGCCTTAATAGGTATGTAAACATGTTTTTTTAATTAATCCTTTTTAGTTTGATAGGAAGGATAGTTAGTTTGTGCATCATGTTTAACCATTAACCTTTACTAAACTTCAATTTTTATACTCTGGAAGGGTTATAATATACAGGGTGACAATTTGAAAACTTACCACCCCCCATATCTTAGTAAATAAACGAGATATTTAAAAAAATCAAAATCCGTTTCGGTAATTCGGAGGGGGATACACAATGACATAGTTGGCGACGCACCCCCTCACACCCCCTGCGCCCTAGCCACCCCAACTTTTAAATCTTAAATAGTAACTCCCCATGTGTGATACGTCATTGGAAAGCTCTGAAAAAATGCTTTCCAACCATACCAAATAGCATTACATTTAGGTTAGTAATTATTGTGCAAATCAAAAAATAAACATGGAAAATCGTATTTAACTTGAACTTCCAAAGCCGACTCGACAGCAACTCATTTTTGATGGCCAGTTCTAATCTATTCTCAAACTCTTGTCGAACCTTTTCAAATGTTGGTTTTGCAATATTTTGACATTCTTGAATTATTATCTGTCTTGGTTCGTCTATGTTCGCCGGTTGCGTTTTAAATACGACAGATTTCAAATGTATCATATTAGTTTATTTTTTGATTTGCGCGATAATTACTAACCTAAATGTAATGCTATTTGGTATGGTTGGAAAGCATTTTTTCAGAGCTTTCCAACGACGTATCACACATGGGGGTCACTATTTAAGATTTAAAAGTTGGGGTGGCTGGGGCGCAGGGGTTGGAGGGGGTGCGTCGCCAACTATGTCATTGTGATTCCCCCTCCGAATTACCGAAACGGATTTTGATTTTTTTAAATATCTCGTTTATTTACTAAGATATGAGGGGTGGTAAGTTTTCAAATTGTCACCCTGTATATACCGCAAGGCATGTGTATCGTAACCTCCATCGTATCATAACCTGTTAGTTTTATACTTGGTTTGTTCGTTGGTCTTCGTGGAGTTGCCTGAGGGTCACTCCGAGAACTGACAGCAATGCATTAACAATAGGCAAACGAACACGGAACTCAATACCCCAAAAAATTAAAAGTGAACCACCAAATCCCACCACTTGGACGGTTTTTCCATGTCAAGCATTTAGAAATAACACTTATGGTATTTTATTGTTCTGTAATTTAATAGTTATTTGTGTACCAAGGCCGTAAAAGTGATCTTTTTTGGCCGAAGCTGCTGTTTGCGGCCGAGGCGGTAGCCGAGGCCGCAATTCAGATGAGGCCTAACAAATCACTTTTGGCCAAGGTGCACACAACATTTTTTAGGCGATCATCAAAAAAGAATTCAAAAATTTGCTCATAAACATATTTTTTCTAAAAATCATAGTTATCTTAGACAATTAAAAACAAAGCATTTCCTGTCATATGTAATTATAATAGTTAGCATCTTCGCGTGTGTTTTGTGCGCATCAAAATGAGTGATAGCGACAATTCAGATACCCCAAATGAAATTTTGGAAGCTGCAAGCGTTGCGACCCTAAGTCTGCTCCCTGCAAAATCACAACAACTTTACATGAAACAGTATGAAAATTTTGTTGAGTGGTGCAAGATGAAAAAAATCAAGCATTGGACTGAAAATGTTTTTTTGGCGTTTTTCTCTGAAAAGGCCAAATCATGCAAAGCCTCAACTTTATGGTCTTTGTATTCAATGGTAAAGGCAACGACAATTGTAAAAAACGACATTGACATTAGTAAATTTCCAAAAGTAGTAGCATTTTTGAAACAACAAAGCAGGGGATATTTGGCCAAGAAATCGGCCATATTTACTAGGGACGATATTAACAAATTTTTGTTGGAAGCTCCTGACATGACTTATTTAATGTGGAAGGTATTATTAGGATGTTCACATCATAATTAGGCTTTTCTTACGTTATATGTCTAGGTTTGCATGATAATTGGAATAACTGGAGCATGCAGGCGTGACGAATTACGAAAAATGTCCATATGTGATATCGAAGACAAGGGGAACATGTTAGTAATCACCATCCCGCAAACAAAAACCGGCAAAAAAAGAATATTTACAATCACTGACGAAATTCTGGAAACCGTACATGTTTTAGAGCTTTTTAGAAAGTACTTAGTCCTGCGACCTTCACATACACCACATAACACGTTTTTTATAAATTACCGCAATGGAAAATGCTCTACACAGGTGGTGGGAGTCCATACATTTGGGAAGATACCATCCTTAATTGCACAGTATTTGAAAATACCAAACTTCACCAACTATACCGGCCATTCATTTCGAAGGAGTTCAGCCTCACTACTAGTTGAAGCTGGGGGAGATATCCTTATGTTGAAGCGCCATGGTGGATGGGTTTCTTCAACAGTCGCAGAAGGATATATAGAAGATTCCATGGCTAGCAAAATGGAAATTTCAAGCAAAATTTTGACAGGCAGGGATGGCCCTTCAACTTCCCAGCTTCCTATGAACACCACTGGCCCCTCAACTTCTCAGGTTCCCACTCACACCACTGGCCTCACCAGTAGGACCACAGAAACTGAGAATCTTACGGAAAACATTCACAATTCATTAAGCAATCAAGCACTTTCTTCAAGCTCTTTCAGTGGCATCCACTTCTCAAATTGCACTCAGTGTACCTTTAATATTAATATTAACAATAGTAGTACTTAAGTACCTAGATATTAATACTTATAGCTTAGATGTAGGTCGTTGTTCTGTTCCATATTCTTTTCTTCTTAGGTTGTCGTTGGGCGATAATGATGCTTTATCACCATCGTGTTGTAATGAACGTTGATAAAAATTATTTTTTATAGTAACTGATCAAAATTTGAAATATGATGCAATCTTTAGATAATATACTTAGTAAGTTTTATTATACCTAATACATTACAAAATGATGAGGTTCCCGAAGAAAACTTGAAAAAGAAAATCTAGTTAACCTTCTTATTCGGAAACATTCCGAGAACACAAGCGCAGCTGCAGTTTTGAATCAATGCTAATTTTTTAGAATAGATGGATTGTCACAGTTCCTCTTTCAGTGAAATTTCCTGTTCGATGGATTTGGTCCAGTCAAGGCTAGCAGTTTCGACAGATACCACAATAATGAAAGGTTACGTTTGTAGGTCCCTGCTAGTTGGGACTGACACTGCTGATACTGCCTTGATTTCACACCCTCGATCACCGTTGAAAACAACAGGGTTCTTGAGAAGTTCAAGGTCTGGCCTAGTAAAAGCACTTGAGGACCGGTGCGATTTAAAACTATTTGGATTCGGTGCCATTAGGTTTGGATACACATTTACTTATAGTTGTGGATACTTTGCAGTTGAATACTGAAACAGGCGAATGCAGTTCGATTTATGGGAATAAAACGTAATTACTGATTTTCGTTAGGTTTCCGCAATGTTGAGGTTATGTTAACACCAGTCACATCTGTGGCGAATGCACCCTTCACTTTTGCAGTCGAATAGAGCGAACGTACGGAAAAGAAGGTACAATTTAAGGCTTCGTATTATAGCAGCATTCGTGATCATGTAGAAAACGACAAATTCCATGAATTATATCATGAATGATTAAGCTCACCGACCTCATTTTTCATTCAGGTCAGTATGAGTGTACAGTGTACGAGCTAATTAAAATTAAACTGACAACGACAAGCGAACTTAGGGCGAGAACGCATGCGCAAAGATTGAAACGTCAAACTATAATTTTAAATGTGAACACTGTGATTATGCAAAATAGTGTAAAACATTCCTACAAGTCCGAAAATGAAAAAAAACGCACGTGGCCATGGCCCAATCCTTGATGGGGCTAGACCAGATAGACGCTTTGTATCAAACATATTACTGTTCCTCACACATCAGTTTCAAATAAGTACAGTTTGACAGATGTGTACAATAAAGTAAAGTTTGACAGAAGCGTACAATAAAGTTAAACTTTATGGCCGCAAAAGCGACCACAAAATCAACGTTTTTGTGATGATAGCCTAAAAAGTAATTTAAATGTACCATCATGTTTTAGGTACTTTCAGAGAAGCCGATAAAAAATCCTTGCTCGCTACAAAGTGTTCAGATTTAGAGTCCCAGTCAGATTTGGAACCAGTTGCGACATCATCACGGAAAAGAAAAATCTTCAAAAAAATTTACAGCTTTTCATCCACACTCCAATCTCAGTATCGGTCAGGTACACTTCTCTTTAGTATAATGTATTCACCTATTGCATATCTTTCAGAAAAGTCCACTACCAACGAGTTTAAAAAACTGCATACTCGCATTAATAAGCAAACGAACAACTCACAGATTATTTCATTACCCACAACTACTGTAAATAACGTCAACAAAGCAATAATTCGCCAAAACAGGTCAAATGAGGATGATTCGAAAACAGTTATTAGTATGTTGAAATTTTTAAATATATTCTTTAAGAAAACGTTTCTTTTAGATTATTTACAGCAGATAATTCGAAAGCAGAACATTTTGCAATCGATGGTGGCAGATTTGGGCAATCGCCTCGTGAATCTGGAATCAAAAGAAGTTAATGTCACGGTTGAAGAAAACGAATCTATGTTCACCAATTTAGAATATTTGCCGGTAAACAATTTGGAAGGGATGCAAAACTTAGAAAATTATTTATGTGATGCACAACTAATGCAAAAAGCAGTACGTAGACCATTTGTTTCATTATATTTTGTTTTACAGATCTAGATCCCTGTGTCACATGCCTGTATAACATTCATAGCAGTTGTTCCTACGTGTTTATGAAAATTTAAAATGACCAACATAATTCGTCATTTAATGATGGCACACGAATCTAGTACAATAATCCATAAATTAGGTTTTTAAAACTTGTTAAAATTATAGGTTAAAGAACTTTCTCAAATTGGAGGCACCAATGTATACAATTTTATTTTTCGTTCAATGGAGAAGTTAATAACTAACAAATTCTGTGGTGCTGTATATAGTTTTCAAGGCAGGAGGAAAAAAGAATCTTTTCAGAAGCTAAAACTCGATGACCTTCTAATAAGTAAGTTAATTTAATTACATTGGAACACACCGTAGCATTTTTCTTTTGCAGAAGCCTGTATGACTATTTTCAAGGATACCACATTAAATGAAATAGAGCAAAATATATCTAAATGGATAAGGCGTTGTGCGGAAAGGGGAAAGGATAAAAACGTGTGAATTGCATAAACCTATATATATTTATGTATCATATATTTACTTCAATTAAATCGTTTTGAATTTCGTTTTTTTCTTCTTTCATTTGCACCTTAATTTGCACCCATGACAATAACAGAATTTGTACATTTTAAGTACCTACCTCTATGTATGTTCCATGGACGTACTGTAATGGACATACATTAAAGGTACAGGGCTATGTCAAATGGACTAAAAATGGACGTACATATTTTGTACAATGTACAAAAATGGACGTACAATGTAAAATGCCAAATTCAATTGACTATGTACGTTGTACATCCATAGTGCTATATGGGGACAAAGATCACGTGACGGTACCGTAAAAGCTGTCAATGGTCTAGAATCCTTGGTAAGAGGAATTTGCCAATAGGCTGACCTTATGTCCAAACCGGTTAGAAATCTGGCATCCCATACACGATCTAGAATGTCCGAAACAAACTGCAAAGGGTAGGCGTCGCACCTAGTAACTTTATTGAGCGGACGAAAGTCGACAGAATCTCCATGATCCATCCTTTTTTTACCGCCACAATCACTCCATTACCCATTTTTTGACCTAGGTTGGTAGCGAGGACACTTACGTGCTGTAACATCAAGATACCACAAGTAAAGCAGTGCTTTCTAAGCGGTCTATAACGTGAGGTTAGTTCGGCGCTGTAAAACTCAAACCCCGCCGCATAAACGGCCAGCTAGCTCAGATTCTTAATTAAAAGAAGGGCTCGAGATGAGAATCTTCCACAGCGGTTTGTTCGTTTGGGCATATAACATAAGTTTTTGATCTTTGGTAGTTACTAGAAATGATTAGTTGAGCGCCACCCAATTTTGCACAAATTCTGACCTCTCCTGTATAGAAATTGGGAAAACACAAGAGAGCCAAATAATAAATTCACTACGAGCAATTCTGATTTATTAATCCTGGCAAAACGGTGCAGGATCGGCAAATAAAATGTATCTTCAATACGACAATAACAAATACTTTAAATGACAAAAATAATCCCCAAATAAATTCATGAACACTTCCCTAATAATTACGTTACCAGACCCCTACAACAATGATCGAGCAAAAATGTAGTTAAGATTTCAATGGATTCCAAGATTGAATTAAGTTAACCCGAATAACAACTCAGATAGGCAACACTGGGTACAAGTAAATTAAAAATCTTACCTTGAATAACACATACGCTGTCTTCTCCGAAAAAGAGCTCTCCTTCGAAGTTCCAGTTCTGTAACACAAAAACAAACCCCAAGCTACAACGCTCGGAACGATTATATGAGCCGGAAGGGCCAAAAATAGCTTACTCGTAGCCGGCTCGTTTACCCATACGTTAAATACAGGTGCGTTGCTCTTGAAGAGAGCCACGACCTCAAACACTAGATGCGAACAAAATACAAAGCTCCAATCATAAATCGTCGGAAGGTTACACTAGATCAACGGTATTGAAGCAAATAAAAAAAAGTTGTGTAAAAGATCGTATCTTCCGAAAATTCCACAATCAGCTGGTCGCTCCCGGTATCGTTTAGGTGTCAGCGCTTATCTACTCGGTGGTACGCCGGATAGCTGCCGGCAATCAACAGGTGTTCGTACTCCGGAATATTCGCAAGATGCAAATTCATTTACTATCCCAAAATTATGCCAGGTCAATGTCCTCCGCCCACAAGAATGTGCAAGGATATACTATAAACTATACCATACAAGGATTCGTCTGTACAAGGATTGACCGGTACAAGAATTCATCTACTACATGGACCCCCTAAAAGTAATGAAGATGTAACACTCCCTTGACGAGATTTTTAATAACATACCTGAAATCGTCAGGAGGGTAATGAAAAATACTTAAATCAATGAAATATGGGAATTATCCAACCTCAAATTGTGAATCTGAAAGAATTTTAGATAACATAACGTAAAAGAAAACCAACGCCATTTCACTTACATGTAGGTAGGGCGATGAACTTCAACCAGATATATAGCCTCGCAATGGAGAAAACGGCTTCTGAGTACACTACTCGACAACGCCAATGAAGAGGTAAAATTGCCAGAGATTTTACGTGAATGATGGCAAATATTACCCACTGGTTTAAGAAGAATTCACAATGCCACGCTCTACAACAAGTACAACCTCGTTGGCTTTAAAACGGAAATGAAGTGAAAAAATAACGCGATTCTGCGCGAGGAAAGAAACACGCGTACAAGTGACGCCATCTCACCTATATCCTACCTAACCTAGCAAGCGGTAATTTTGAAATTTGAATATGAATGAACTAAACTGTTACAGGTCTATCACACAATCTAGCAAGTTGATCATTCTTCAGACAATTTCAGCAATTTACCTCACTGGGGTTTGGCCCAGCCCTCGAATTCGACGCACTCGCATCAGAAATAACAGGGACAACCACACAAGAAAGTTCAGGCTCAACAGCGGACAAATCACTGCGACGAGATGGTGCTTGATCGGAGCGATATATCTTAATTTCTACGTTCACTCCCCCTCCAATGCTATTATGGATTTTACCTCCGGTGTAAAATGGAGCTAGGTTCCTTAACATATCTAGTCAGATGAGGGTATGTCACCATACTGACAGAATAAAGTGTTCATACAGAAAAAGTATTCTATAAATGGTTCGTTAGGAACTTGGACCTTAGACACAATTTCCTGAAAAGGTATCGGCCTAATAGTTCGGAGGCAAAAAGTACTTACACAATAATACTGATAACTTGGATCAATTATGGCACCTCGTTACGATCGACCTATAACCATAACCTAACTTTACCTTCAAATAAATCTAAAGCGGAATCGAAAAGTTTACTCTCAGACACGTTTTGCTTTACAGCTCCTCCTTTCGGTCGAGAAGAGACAGAACTGATATACCTTTTGGATCCCCAGAACATTTATCCCCATTTTTCCACAGGTTGGGCTTTATAAATTTTCGGAAATTGAAAGAAAGTGAGTAGGACCTGCAACTTCATCAGGTTCGGATTCAAACTCCTCATCAGAAGTCATGTCAGGGAAAGTTCCGGGCTCTTTTGAACCAGCCACAATGCTCAAATTTGGTGTACTCCAAGGCAAGGGTTATTTACAACCTAACTCTAAGACTTTGGCCTCTGCCATTGTAATTAATAATTAATCTACTTGTGGTCATCAAGACAACTACCCAGATGCAAAGGCCGTTTGTCGCCAAACAAATTGGAGAACTGCAGAATTTGGCAATCGACGAAATGGCACCAAATACCTTATAGTTCGGACATTGATAACACAACAACTAGGTTGGTCGTACTGATTACTTCCAAAAACTTATCAGCGCTTAACCTATCACCTTTGACGAAGGCAACGGCAACCCTACTTTCTGCTTGCCAAAGATCAAACAACTCCCCTTTTCCACAATGAGGTTATCCTTCCCAAGCCTGTGCATTATCCTTCCGTAAGTTTTTGAGTTTCATATAGCACCATGTATATGGTTGAACGACTGCACTGCACTGAATTATAGATTTTCAAATATAATTAAATTTTTTCGAGTACACTTCCGGAGATATTCGCAAAAAACGAAATTTTTTTCAATTTAACACCCTGTATCTCGAAAATTTTACATTTTAGAGAGTAGGTTAATAGAAACTTTTTTTCAAATTTTTGGACGAGCATCACATCCTGAAGTCCTACGCATATATTATGAAACACCTTGTAGAAAAACGACGTAGTAACACTAGAGTAGCTGTAAATTTATTATGAATAAAACAATAATCTGACACAGAAATATACAAAAACCTTGACAACAAACTTTATAAAAGTAAACGGGGATAAACCTACTCTTAATTTAAAAATTAGTTCACTCACATTAAAATACAATTCAACATTAAACCATTCTCATAATGTATTTATTTCGTTAGTCCATCAAACAAAAAGAATAACATCCTTAATTTGACGTACCTACGTGTAAACATGTGTATAAAACAATCATGGTAATTCCGAAAATAAATTAGCAAGTTGTATTGAACCTACAATCGCAGGTATATATAAAACAAGTATTATTCAAAAAATTTCAGTACTCGACCAATTTTAAAACAGACTTAGTAAACATGTTGCGCTCGGTGAGTAATCCTGTTACGCTCTTTGACAAAATCGCTTATCAACGTTTACGTCAATAATTTCAGATATTTATTTTACTTGCCATACTTGCGTTAACGTACGCTATACCTTATCCTCAACCTAAAGCGCTCGCACTTCTGGACGTCGCGGAGTCTGCAAATCCTCACTATCATCATCACCACCACCATGGTCATCACCATCACCATGGATGGGGCGGCGGTTGGGGAGGCCATCATGGAGGCTGGGGAGGCCACCATCACCACCATTGGTAGTAGAATGTGTTAAAATTAAGTTATGTGATGTAATTAACTTTCGTACAAATGTCCGCTAACTTTGTGTCTACGTATAGTGTTCGTCTTACTACATAGATATGTTTAAGTTATTTTGATTTAATAGTGTCTTCACGATGAGGCATTGTAATAAGTTAACAACAATAACAAATAAATTCCAAAAACTCAAAAGAAATACACACACATCCCAACGCTAGTCCTTTGATGAAGGTTTGGCCACGAAGTAATAATTGTGAAGATTGATCAATCACAATTCATTATAACGAAAACACAATATCCATAACTACCTTCGAAATTAGTACCTACGCATAGTTGGCCCCTGTTTATGAAGCATTATTTCCACAAAACATCTTTTGGAATAAAAGAAAAATTTCTACTCATTACTCATCGATATTTTGTGTTCCAAACTTTTATACCTTGAACGAATCATGATTATTAAAACCACATACTTAGTGTTTTATTTATGGGTATATCGGGGATCCAAAAGTTCTGCGGACGGTTTGAATTTCCCGCAAAACAAAAAAATTTAAAGTCGGTAAGACGCCAAATGTCATTTATTTAAAAGCAGTGGCAGAACAATAAGCGCAGTTGCCTCAGCGAAGGTTGTAACAGTGCTTTTTACACTCTGCCACCAGGTCTTGCGGGCCCCTAAAGTAACATGGTGATCCCTCAGAGCACGTTATCTTCGCTGACACGCTCGCAGTACTTCAAAGATTTGAATTGCGTCTACGAAGGATTGGACGTCATCGTTGCCGTTACGCGCGATTGGCACTTGGAGGACGACCCGTTGCGGCTGCCTCGTAGCTGCGATACGAGCTGTTGCAACTGCTACATGGAAAAAGTAAGCGGTACGTTCTCGTTACCTTGCGCAATTTCCCGTGTGATTTATCCTCTTGTTTTCGTCGTCGCGAAGGATTAAAAATAAATCGGCCCGAAAACGGGACGCCACTTGTTGGAGGGGCGAGGGGAAAATAAACGTTAATAAAACTCTTCAGACGCCTTCCTAACCGTTCCGGGACCCTTGTATTCCGACTTTGTTGTTTCTACAGCTATTATAATGTTATTTAAAATGGTATCTTGGGGTTTGAAGTAAAAAACCGCGAGGGCAGATAAAGTAAAAATAAGCAAAAAGGGAACTGTACTAAACTAGATAGGCGCCGCTTAGTCTTTAGTCACTTCAAAAGAGAGGAGAGAATACTTACCAAAAGGGGGAAGGTACACTAAGAGATCCCTGTTCGGGTTTTAAAAAGCTAAAGGAATAAAATACTTGATATAGGGATATCGGGATAGGGATATAACATAAACAATAATTGACGTCACAATCGAGGGTAATTTAATGAATGGTCTGAAAAATATTACAAATAGTACACTGGAATATATAGATCTACTTTGTCAGTGTTTGAATAAATTTAAATTGATTTTAAGTAAAAGGGGACACGTACTCAGAGAAAATATATATTAATATCAACACAGGGTTCCGCAGAAAATAAAGTAGCCATAACCGTTAAGCGAATATCAAGCAAATGTAATAATTACAATTCGAATATATAAAAAACCAGCATGTAATCAAACGTTAATCAAGGAGTCGACGAAATAAAAATTACCCTTACATTCTGATCTTAACGTCCGTCTGAACTCAGAAGGGCGCGTTCAGCCTTTTCCGTAACAGAAAACAAGACAAACAAACAAATAAGAGAGGTAGTGAATAGCGCGGCACATAAAATATTGCGAAATAGCAATTCTAACGTCGGACACAGAGGCAATTGGACATTAAACTGTAATTAATTATCAGAATAAATGAATAATTAAAATGCCAAAAGCAAAATTTTGATCAAGTACGGATTATCCTTACCACAACTGAATAAAGCATAAACATGACGATAAATTCAAGAAAAGTACTTTATGATGCACAAATATCTAAATTTCTATTGATCTAATCAACCCACAATGTAAATGAACTGGTATGAGGAAATTCTTCGAAGTAAAACAAGTAACGTAACTGAAAAAAGTCGTTGATATCGGCTTCGGACAAAGTTGCGACAATGTCAGAACTTGTTCACAAAGCAACAGTACTAATATCGGTATAATACAGCTAATCTGAAGGATACAATGCAATCAAACTAACAGAAATGAGTATGAATCCACATGGTCAATGCAGTTAGAATTTCCAAAGTTGTAACTCATCTCTCCTGTGACACGCCAAAACCAATCCTTAATAAGATGGCGGGTCCAAGTGAGAATGCTATATCATCCACGTATTATGTGGGTAATGCGTAATATCCTGGTAGTGATAGATCAACGTAAAAGGTAATCTAAAAAAAATAACGATAAGAAACAAAAAGAAAACTGTAAGGGAAGTTAAAGCCCTAAAAAACACGAGAAATGCTGCGTAAAAACGTAACATACCCCGTATTGTTCATAGGCAAATATAAATCCGTAAAAACGTTTCAATGGAGCCACGACACACATCAAAGAGAAAGAGAAACCACTCCAAATATAATATGGCAAAGCCAAAACTCATTAAATGTAAGTTAGTAAAGTAACGAGAAAATTTACAACCAACAAACACGAAGGCTGAATTCACTGCGGGGAAAAATACAACTAGTAGGTAAAAAAATGTCAGAAGGAATATCATTAAATGCAGAAAGGTACAAAGCGTGCACTCTAGTGCCAAGAAAAAGAGGTAAGTAAAAGCAACCACTAACACCAGGAGGGCATCTAACGGCAAAACAAAGAACTATAATAAGAAAGCTATACTAAGATAATAACAAGTTTACTACAGGAATAATTTACATCTAAACTAGTGGATTACAATTAGAATACCTAGCTGACGTAAACATATAAATAGGATCATAATTCAAATAGTTACTTAAGCGAAACTATAAATCGGTAATATCAATTGGTGAAAAAAATAACGTTATAGGATCAATAATTACCAAATCGTAAAACACGAATAAGACACGTTAGTTAGTGGCCGTTTGCCGATATTAAATTAAATTCTCAAATATTATATATAAATTTAATTGCTTTATGGCTCCAAATTGCGGAACCATTTCGCTTCGCCACTGGTGAATTAAGCCCTTTCATCTGATGGTTAAAATATCCCTTTCTCGAATTTGGTACTGACACAATCTCATGGTGCATTTTTTAAATTTTGTTTATCGCAGCAAGCAATCAGGAGATCTATAATTTTCTGTGTAAACGTTGCATAATGTAATCATAGGAATTTCTGTAATATATTAGCACGTTATGATGCGTCTCTGCACGTGAGTATATAAATTAGGTATTGTCGAACGGATTACTACAGTACTTGCCGCTGTTTTGTATTCAAAAGATCAAGTCAATATGTTGAAGGGGGTAAGTATCTAAAGATATTTTTCACGCGGCAACAACAGCCTATTTCTTTTACTATACATAAAAACGTCTCCAAGCATTTACGTTCCAGGCATTGGTCTTACTTGCCATCCTGGCATTAAACTTCGCTTTTCCGCATCCTCGACATGAAGAAGCGGACATTTTAGACGTTGTGCAATCCGCGAATCCTGTCTTGGGAGGCTGGGGCGGAGGAGTATGGATCGGTGGCTGGGGCGGTAGAGGGTGGGGAAGTGAAGGTTGGGGAGGAAGAGGATGGGGAGGCGGAGGTTGGGGTGGAAGAGGATGGGGAGGCGGTGGTTGGGGAAGCGCCAGAGGATGGGGCGGCGAAGATTGGGGCGGAAGAGGATGGGGTGGTGGAGGTTGGAGCGGAAGAAGAGGCGGTTGGTGGTAAAAATGTTGCTGTATTAACCGCAATTTAATGATATATAAATAAAGGTGTGTAATGAAATAGTCTTTCGTTTAAATTTGAATGTGCATCTTGTCGGCCGCCTATATCTCGCATCACAGATATTAACCTGTTCTAATGTGTGAACTACGTACAACCACTACAGCATATTTTTTGGTGCGTTCATTGTTTTTAACATTCACACTATAAATTATAACGTTGTTGAAATGTGTAATTAACACAACTACATTAACAAAATGTACACTTTAATTTTATAATCAATAAAGGTATGCTAATGACTACAGACAGCAAAGGGAAATAATTGATGCTCGTGTAAAATGTGACGAATCTCTCACTATAAAGGTACAACGGTGTACCGTAGATTTTCGAAAGGAAGGACTTTTCAAAAACTAGATTTTAATTTAAATCGAGAACATCAAAAGTTCAACACAGCTTTTTCCCGATCACAATATGGTTCTTCAGGGTTGTCACCCTGAGGTATTAGGGACGTAGAGAGGGGGGTATTAATTAATTAATAATTAAGCGCAATTAGAGCAGCAACACTGTCGGCTGGAGTTAGAGGACAAGGTCGACGAGGGCTTAATTTTGCAGTCAGTCAAGTACCAAAGTACCACAGATAAGCCGTCCCTTTGGTTTGCCCAGGTGGAGGCGCAGTTTGAACTCGCGCATCCCATTATTAATCCGCCGGTTGATATTCTGTACAGTCTACTTTGTTAAGATCCCAGAATAATATTTTTGGTGTAGAAAGACCCCGATCCTCCAGTTACCATCCCTGTGTCAATGGTACGGTTTAATGACTCCATGAAACGTTGAAAGCAACGCTTATGCGTCATCCTGGTGAATCTTGACTCGAAATCGCCAGCTTCCTGATGAAAGATAGTGCGTTAGTATTTGTCGAGTATAATTTTATTTTATATTATGATTTCTAAAAAAACTCCTAGGCGATAAAATTAAACTCGAAAATTTTTACTAGCTGTAAAGTAACAAATATCTTAGTGATGACGGCAGGTGCCTGCTTTCTACTGTGCAATATAAATAAAACAGACTAAAGACTACAGCGATAGCTTTCCTGGGCGAAATTATAGTAAAATGTGAGTATATCAATTGCTGCAAGTATGAATTAATGCATGTTGAAAATAACGCCACGTGAGAAAACCACTCGCTGTAATCTAAGATAGAACATCAATTTTATACAAGTCTCGGGCAATTGCTTTCGTTATTTATGAAAGGACGTGGGATTTCAGATTTCTGCAATTCAATATATCAAAGAAACATTGAGCTCTTTTTCAATTTAAGTTTTTTATTTGCTCTCTATGAAATACCCCAGAAGATAAAATAAAATGAGAATAAAACACGCCACGCCGTCTACGTTAAGCGGCAACAAAAATTG